TGGATTGTGAGTGATAGGGTGAAGTCTGAGTAACCAAACTCTTAATCCTCTCTTGAGGTTTTCTTATCTGTGTTCATTTCCCGCAAGGGATTGTTTACTTTTATGTTGAACCGACATGTTAGGATTGTATGTGTAGAAGTAAGTAGAAGAATGAAAGCATGATGGCATAAAAAGCATAAAATTGATACCTGTCCAAAAAATTTGAAATGTGCTAGATCTATAGGTTGAATGAGCTGAATGTGTAGGATCTTCATATGACATGATAAGGAACCGGTATGATAGCATGACTTAAACTAAAACTTGAACTTGGTAACTCAATAATCCGATAATGAAACAATGTGCCAAGGGCGTGTGAGAAAAGTTTGAATGTTCATGCAGTATGTGCCAATCTAGAACTTGCCCCGTTGGTCCTGCTAAGATAATCTACGCTAGAACTTGGGAAATGATCATATGACCTTGTTCAAATAAGACCACTCAAGCCTAAAAGTCAACCAAAAGAAATAAATTCTCCATTCGATCCAAATGTTTGAGCGTAATGAATACCACTTCTTTCAATACACCTAATTCACCTTCCCTAAAAGATTGTTTTGACCTCGGTCCCTCCTTGGATATGTGTACCTTAACTTAGGACAAAAGCCTAAGTTGAGGGTGGCTAATTCAAAAAGTTAACTTAATCTTGGCCCTGGTCCGACATAGAATATTGTGTACCTTAACTCATGTAAAATACATAAGTTGAGGGTGGCTATGAAAAAGGAAACCGCAAGAAAAAGGGTATGAAAAGATTTTGTGTAGAAGAAAGAAAAAGTAAAGAAACAAAGAAAAAGATGTGATTGAAGTCAAAGAAGTGAAAAGATGAATGACAAAAGTTTTGAAAGAAACAAAGAAAGATGAAGCAAAAGAAAATAAAGAAAAATAAGAGTGATAAAGTCAAAAGTCACATCTGTGTTGAAGAGAGTCAAGCGAAAGAGCAGAAATAAAAAAAGATGTCAAGAATTGGCTGAGAAAAGAGGTAAAAAGCCAATGTAGTGTCAAGGAGGGCAAAAAAGTCACTAAAAAGTACCCAAATGTACCCTACCTGACCCTGAGTCTACGTTACAAGCTAAGAAAGTCCTATAGTAATCCTAGTGACTAGTT